TGGTGGGTGTAGTGATAGGGGTAGTGATAGGGGTAGTGATAGGGGTAGTGATAGGGGTAGTCATATTGGTTGGGGTAGTGATAGTGGGTGGGGTAGTGTTAGTGATAGGGGTAGTGATAGTGATAGGGGTAGTGATAGTGGTAGTGATAGGGGTAGTGATAGGGGTAGTGATAGGGTTTGGGATAGTGATAGGGGCAGTGTAGGGGTTGGGGTAGTAATAGGGGTTGGGGTAGTGATAGGGGTAGTGATAGGGGTAGTGGTTGGGGTAGTGATAGGGGTAGTGATAGGGATAGTGATAGAGGTAGTGATAGGGGTAGTGATAGTAATAGGGGTAGTGATAGGGGTAGTGATAGGGGTAGTCATATTGGTTGGGGTAGTGATAGTGGGTGGGGTAGTGTTAGTGATAGGGGTAGTGATAGTGATACGGGTAGTGGTAGGGGTAGTGGGTGGGGTAGTGATAGGGGTAGTGATAGGGGTAGTGATAGGGGTTGGGGTAGTGATAGGGGCAGTGATAGGGGTTGGGGTAGTGTTAGGGGTTGGGGTAGTGATAGGTGCAGTGATAGGGGTAGGGGTAGTCATATTTGTTGGCGTAGTGTTAGTGATAGGGATAGTGATAGGGGTTGGGATAGTGATAGGGGTTGGGGTAGTGACAGGGGTAGTGATAGTGATAGGGGTAGTGATAGTGGTTGGGGTAGTGATAGGGGTAGTGATAGGGGTAGTGATAGTGGTTGGGGTAGTGATAGGGGTAGTGATAGGGGTAGTGATAGTGGTTGGGGTAGTGATAGGGGTAGTGATCGTGTTTGGGTCAGTGATAGCGGTAGTGTTAGGAGTAGAGATTTGGGTGGTGAAAGTGTTAGTGACAGACTGATCGTGGTAGTGTTAGGGGCAGTGGTTGGGGTGTTTCTGGGTGCAGAGAGTAGCGGTAGCAGCAGCAGCAGGATGATGATGATGATGTTGGACTTGGGGAGCGGAGACGGGGGGGGGTTCAGGTAGGCACGGAAGCATCACCAGGGGCTGTGTTGAGCGCGTTGACTGATTACAATTAAGATGTCAACCACGTCTGGACGAGCGTCACCCACCTCATCATGCACACACCTCATCATGCACACACCTCATCATGCACACACCTCATCATGCACATACAGCCGATATCCGAGTGTGAGCGAGTGTGTGTGCGTCCCGGGGAGAGAGGCGGGGAGCGGTGGGGTCGCGGTCAGCGCGCTGCGCTACGGACCCGGACAATTATCTGAACCGGTCCTGGGCCTCCCCTAGGTCGACTCAGCCTCCAATGAGTACCTGGTGCGATGTGTAAGCACCGCTACTCGGGAGACAAAGACGGCCAGAAGCAGTGGGCCGTCCCGGCTTTAATAAGCGATAGCTGACAGAGCTTGTCCCTGCAGTCTCTACGGGGGGGGGGGGGGGGGGGGGTCTTTGTGAGTGCACCGAGCCTGGCACAAGCCCCGTGGTGGCGCCGAGGGGAATGATTGATCCTGGCTGGCGATGAAGATACACGCACACGCGCGTCTCTGTGTGTGTAACGCATACAGCACGAACACACACACACACGTGCATCTAGCTCAACACATACTGCGTGGTCTCTCCCGTGACGTCTGGCCAGTGAGGAAGAGTAGGCCAAATACCCTCCTCTAGGGGGGGGGGGGGCTCTGTAGAGGTCCCTCTAGTGCAGGCCCTTCCGCCAGCAGATGCACTTTCAGAGGCTGCGCCTTTTCCCGTATACACAGTTAAATAATTGTATTGCTGTGGGTGCTGACGATGTCTTAACGGATGATGCCGCTGCTGCTGATGGTGCTCCACCGTCCGTCTAATTCACACACGGAACTCAACACGCACAAATGTATGATGGGCGACGTTTCGGGTAATGACCCTTGTTGTTTGTTTATTTGTACAAAATAAGTGCCGACGTAAAAAAAAAACGAACACGAATCGGTCCCGAAATCCGCCACGACTCGAGACGAACGACGACTACATAGCCACGGGGGGGGGGGCACGGGGGGAGGGGGGACACGGGGGGGCACGGGGGGGGCACGGGGGGGGACACGGGGGGAGGGGACACGGGGGGAGGGGGCACGGTGGAGGGGGCACGGTGGAGGGGGGGACACGGGGGGAGGGGGCACGGGGGGGAGGGGGCACGGGGGGAGGGGGGGCACGGGAGAGGGGAGGGCACGAGGGGAGGGGGGGAGGGCACGAAGGGAGGGGGGGCACGGGAGGGGGACACGGGGGGAGGGAGGGGGGCACGGGGTGGGGGGGGAACGGGAGGGGGGTACGGGGGAGGGGGGCACGGGGGGGGGCACGGGAGGGGGGTACGGGGGACACGGGGGGAGGGGGGACACGGGGGGAGGGGGGACACGGGGGGGAGGGGGTGGAGGGCACAGGGTGGGGGGGGGCACGGGAGGGGACACGGGAGGGGGGGGGGGGGCACGGGAGGGGGGTACGGGGGACACGGGGGGAGGGCAGACGAGGAAGGATCCTTAAAAAGGAAGCTTTTAAATAGGGCCCCCTAAATCAATAAACGCGACATTCAACGCATCGTCCCTGGTGACTATTCCCACAGTGCACCAGTGTGTGGGTTCTCCAGGGGCAGGGATCTCGCCCACTGGCCCCACTGTGGTCAGGGAGACAACGCCGACCCGCCTGGCCTGCGGCCTGCAGCAGCAGAAGCTGTCTGCAAGCTAACGTGAAGACAAAGGCGGGTGTGTAAGCGCCATATCTAACAATACAGTGATGGTGGTGACGATGACGGTGACGATGATGATAATGATGCGCTGATGATGATACTGGTGATAATGCTGCTGCTGCTGCTTGTGATGGCGTTTGTGATGACGCTGAACCACAGAGGCTGTGGTGTCAGTTGAGTGACAGGTCTAAATAATCCTGACGCCGTGACCTCATCGTTTGTCACAACCACCTGATTGTGATGTCACAATGGCACTCGTGCCAGGCTATGTGCACTTCTTTGGCCACGTGGCGAGTCGAAGGCTAGCCGTAACACCCCGTCAGTGAGCCAGGGGCTCAGCGGCTGGACGAGCCACAGTCCTCGGCATCAGGAAGAGTTGGGGAGCGAGGGGGCACGATGGCAACCCCAGCTGCAAGCGAGGATCAAATTCCCGCTTCCAACTTTCATCAGCTAGCTTGAGACCAGGACACTGTGGGTTTTAATGACGTCCTTATTGGACACCCACCACCGGAGTGGAGCCATGGGCAGGCGCTTCTTACAGATGGTCAGTGTGCTCCACGGGAGGTCCTGGTGTCAAGGTCACTATCTAGTCCAGCAGATATCCTTCGCTCGGACGCGGCGTGCATCCCGGACGTCGTGTGGATGCGCCGATGCCGGAACAGCGTGTTGGTGATTCCAAGCCAATGTGCTGCACAGAAGTCTAGCAGCCTCCTACCGTTATTATTGAGCTGATCTGCACCATGCCGTCCAAATCACTCCAGCCCAGGTGCCCGCATCACGACCCACTCGGGCATTAAAGTCACACAAGAGGATGACTCTATCCCGAGGGGCCACTTCAGCAGAACCTGGGGCAGGAGTTCTTCGAAGGCGTCTGACTCATCGTCCTCGCCACTGATGTGCATCACTCGCACACTCACAACAACCGCCATTCACCACTGAGCGGCGGTGATGATGTTACGAAGCGCTTGTGCCAGGCTAGGTGCACTTCACACACACGCGCGCACACAAAGCGGGAACTTATCCTCCTCCTTTTCCTTCCAGAGAAGAGAGAAATAAATAGAAAGTAACACGAACGCGCAAAAAAAACAAACCGGAGCTACACTTAAAGCCGTTCCAATCATTATCTGCTAACTTAAAAATATGACAATAAAAATAGCAATAAAAAACACAATTTAACTTTAACGACAGTGACAGGCTCTGTTGCTCTATCTGAAATGCTGACGGCAACCCCACCCCCCCCCCCCGGTATAACCCCCCCCCCAGTCCCTCCACCCCGACCCCCCCAGTACCCCACCCCCACCCCCACTACGATCTGACGCCTACACATGTAGCTACTACACATGTAGCTACTACACATGTGTAGTAGCTACATGTGGTTACTACACATGTAGCTACTACACATGTGGCTACTACACATGTGGCTACTACACATGTAGCTACTACACATGTAGCTACTACACATGTGGCTACTACACATGTAGCTACTACACATGTGGCTACTACACATGTGGCTATTACACATGTGGCTATTACACATGTAGCTATTACACATGTGGCTACTACACATGTGTAGCTACTACACATGTGGTTACTACACATGTGGCTACTACACATGTAGCTACTACACATGTGACTACTACACATGTGGCTACTACACATGTGGCTATTACACATGTGGCTACTACACATGTGACTATTACACATGTGGGTATTACATATGTGGCTACTACACATGTGACTACTACACATGTGGCTATTACACATGTGACTACTACACATGTGGCTATTACACATGTGGCTACTACACATGTGACTACTACACATGTGGCTATTACACATGTGGCTATTACACATGTGGCTACTACACATGTGGCTATTACACATGTGGCTATTACACATGTGACTACTACACATGTGGCTATTACACATGTGGCTATTACACATGTGACTACTACACATGTGGCTACTACACATGTGGTTACTACACATGTGGCTACTACACATGTAGCTATTACACATGTGGCTACTACACATGTGGCTACTACACATGTGGCTACTACTACATGTAGCTACTACACATGTGGCTACTACACATGTGGCTACTACACATGTGGCTACTACACGTGTAGCTACTACACATGTGTAATAGCCACATGTGGCGACTACACATGTGGCTACTACACATGTGGCTACTACACATGTGGCTACTACACATGTGGCTACTACACATGTGGCTACACGTGCTACGGGCCCCGCACTTTCAAGGGCCCCGCGCTAAACGCTTTCAAGCCATTAATTCCTGTCCAGTGATTCTGCACTTGCTCTATTACTATAGTACTATACTGCCTTCAACTTTTATCAACGACTGGGTGTTTAAGGTGAACGATTTGGCGTCTGTGAGAAAAGTTATTGGACAGCAACGCACCCAGGCATCACTGGGCGTCCCGGGGTCTCTGCAACCCCTTTTATCCCCTCGAACACTCAAGAACTCCGCTGGCCGCTATCACTGCTGGTACCCAGCAGCATGGAGCGATGACAAAATCCGCGGCCGGGTCAAAGGTTAGGGCTAGGCTAATGTGTCATACGGTAAGCGTTAGGGATAGACCAATGGCCCATCCGTTGTTGGATCAGGGGTTAGGGTAATGGGTCAGTGGGTTGGGTCTAACCCAATGACCCATGCGTGGCTGGGTTAGGGTAATAGGCAAAACGGGGAAATGAGTTCGGGTCTAGGGTTCAAGATGCTCAAGGTTACCGGTTAGGGATCAGAGTTATGTTATAGGTAAGCCTCGGGTTAGATCTAAGCTTCGGGTTCAGGCTAGGGTTATAGTTGGGGTCTAGAATAAGGGCTGGGGTTATGTCTCAGGCTATGTTAATGGCGAAGGTTCGGATTTGTATGTTAGTTGTTAAAAGTGATGGAAAGAGCTGGAGTTAGGGTTATGGTTTCAGGCTGAGTTTCTGGTTAGGCCTCTACCTGAACAACCACGTGACATTTAACATCACCATCAGCCCACGTGACCCCACGCCTCCCCCACCTCACTCTCCGCTCACCCCGCGCCTCTGCGCGCTACACGGGCCGCTGGTAGGGCCGCCACACGGCCTCCTCCATGGCCCGCACGGCCCCCAGGGCCCCCGGCGAAACGCTGGGGCAGCTGCCGTCGCTCTCCGTGCCCTCGGCGCAGGGCCCCAGGGACCCCGGCAGCTCGGGGGACCTCTGGTCGGAGGCGCCCGCCACCAGCGACAGCTGATAGCCCCCCGCCGCTCCCGAGGGGGGCGCGCCGTAGAAGAGCGCGTAGGGGCCCGAGGGGGGCCCCCCATTCTGGTAGGCGGAGGAGGGGGCGTGTCGCGGAGGAGAGCCCGGGTAGGGGGGGGGCAGGTAGGCGTGGTAACGCGGCGAGGGCGGCGGCGCCGGGGTCAGGTGGGGGTAGGCGAAGGCCCCCGGGTAGTGGAGGCGGGGGTCCGGCAACGCAAACTGCCCGTCGTGGTGCAGGCTCATGCGGGATGGGTTGAACACCCCCTGCAGGTCTGTGTGGGGGGGGGGGGGGGGAGCAGGGGGGGGGCGGGGTCGGTGGATCACATGCACACGCAGTCTCGTTTTCATTCGTCATCACATTTCCGGGGGCGGGGGGGGGTTTAGTCTGCATCGTGAATTTGCCCAAATGTGTTGTCGGACGACCCTCCACCAGCAACATTTGCTGACTGTCTGTAATCATCACGGTGAAGCATTTCCCGAGACGCGCACCAAACTTCGGCCAAAACTCGCTGTCTGGCGCTGCAACGGCGACGGCCGGGGTTGACCCCTGCGGCTTCCATCGCCGCGTTTCCCTCGGCACACAAAACAGTCTTCATTGCCGTTTGTTCCTGGCCGCTTGGCGGTCTCTAGGACATGGCCCTCCACGAGCTCGCTTGCTTTGGAAGGGCAGCGTGCGGGCGACATGATGGGGGTGGGGCGAGGGTAACGAAGGGGGGAGGGAGGGGGCAACTTCTCAAACGCCGGCTGGTTTGATTACCACCAGCGCCCGGCGCGTTTGAACTTCTTTCGCACCCTACGGGCCAGCCACCCGTGCTGATCGGAGAGCTTCGTGAGACCATGGAGACGTCTGCGGTGAAGGCTCTCGTCCGGCTGACGTAGAGCCCGGCCGACAACGTTGCAGCCGGTTGATGCAGCAGCGCGGTCACAGCAACCGCTGCTTTCTGGGTCGCGACCCCGAAGTCGACGCCTGGACCTCTGCTGGCGCTGCAGGCGCCCTTCGCTGACCCTTCCCACGAGCGCCGCTGGCCACCTTCGGCCTTCGAGAGAGCGGCCGCAGGGCCGAAGCGCGCGTGGCTTTGGTCGACCGCTGCCAAGATGGGCGACCCGCCGTCGCGCCGCGTGGCTCGTTGAAGCGCTTCCCCTCCGGCGCAGGTCGAAACGTGACCTCCGCCCTCCTTGGGGATTAACCAAGAGGCAGGGTGCGAACTGTGGCGAAAATCCGTGGACGCCACCGACCGACACCGCCGCTGCCAGCCACCGGCATCGCCAACGCTCTCCGCCCTCCCGCCGTCTGACCGGGCAGCCGCCGCGCCCGTAGCAGCCCACCGCTCTGCCGTGGGTCTTGCTGCCGGCCCCCCCCCCACCTCCCCCGGTCGCCGGACTCGCACCGACCGCTCCGACCACGGCCCTCCCACACACCCGCCCTGCACGCTCCTCCCGCCCAGCGCGGCGATTTGTTGCCCGATCGCACCCGGCAGGGACGCTCGCCAGCTCCAGGGGGGGCTTCCGCGCTGCACGTGCCGTCCCGGTTACGGCCGACCCGGGTACCCGGGCCATCACGGCAAGGGGTTGGGGGAGCGGCCTGGAGGAGGGCCGCTCGGGACAACTTGGCTCCTCCCTCGTGGTCCTCGAACGCTCGCGACGACTCCGTCCCCATCGTCGCCCCCCCCCTCATCCCGCCCCTGCGTGCCGCGACTCCCCACCCCTCTAAACTCGCCCCGCCCCTCCCCCAACTCTCCCCGCCCTCCCCCTTCCCGCCCCTCCATCCGTACCTTGCGTGGAGAGGGTCCGCGCCGGGGAGAGGGGCCCTGATGTGGACCCCATGCCCGATGGGGCCCCCACCTGGGGTAGGTAGGAGGGGTACGGCTGCTCGAAGGGCCACGGTGGGGAGGTTTGCGCGCTGCGGGGACCCCCTCCCTCGGAGCCTGCGGGATATGGGGGGGGGGGGGAAGCGGGGGAGGGGGGAAGCGGGGAGGGGGGAGATGGAGGAGGAGGCGATGACGTGGAGCTGAGTGGACTTGCCGAAGTCCGGTACCAGCGGTGTCAACATGGGCCTCTGTGCAGGAGGACGCTGCTGCTGCTGCTGCTGGGCCAGTTGGGAGGCAGTCGCCCTCCAGCAGCAACGGAGGGCGGAGGTTGCGACGCTCACAACAACGAGCGGAGCGCCCGGCGGATAAAACGCGGAGAGTTGCAACAGTAGAGGGCACAGGTGGTGCTCTGGGCCATCCGCCCATCTGTAACATCACGAAAGCAGCGCTCGCACGCTGTGTACCTGCTGCTGCTGCTGCTGCTGAGATCCACCCAGCTCGAGACAGCCAAACGGAGTCGCTCACCTGCTGCACCACTCAGTGCTCTGGAGCAGTCTCTGCCGACTGAAGTGACAATCGGTGCTTTTAAGACCGGGGTTAAAATGTTGATTTTTCCCTTCCGCTCCTCGTGTTTAGCTTTCGATTTCGTCAGCGCCACCCGCGCTTCCATCTCAGCTGGTTGCTGAACGCGCGCGTTACAATTCTTGGATCGATCGGATTGATTGAATTGTCTCTGCCGGTGGCCTCGGGTGACCAACGCACGACACATGGGGCCCCTGGCCCCGCGCGAAACGCCGCCTGCCGGCGGCCGAGCGTTACAGCGCTCCGTTGTGACGTCACCGCCGCAGGGCGGCCACCGACGGCCGTGACCGCACGTGCCGGCATGTCGATCGCCGTGCGTGTGGGGTCAGGGTTCACGTAGCCAGGGGCTCGCCATGTGTGTGGGGTCAGGTAGCCAGGGGCTCGTCATGCGTGTGGGGTCAGGGGTCAGGTAGCCAGGGGCTCGCCATGTGTGTGGGGTCAGGTAGCCAGGGGCTCGTCATGCGTGTGGGGTCAGGGGTCAGGTAGCCAGGGGCTCGTCATGCGTGTGGGGTCACGTTGCCAGGGGCTCGCCATGCGTGTGGGGTCAGGGGTCACGTAGCCAGGGGCTCGTCATGCGTGTGGGGTCAGGGGTCACGTAGCCAGGGGCTTGCCATGCGTGTGGGGTCAGGGTTCACGTAGCCAGGGGCTCGCCATGTGTGTGGGGTCAGGTAGCCAGGGGCTCGTCATGCGTGTGGGGTCAGGGGTCAGGTAGCCAGGGGCTCGCCATGTGTGTGGGGTCAGGTAGCCAGGGGCTTGTCATGCGTGTGGGGTCAGGGGTCAGGTAGCCAGGGGCTCGTCATGCGTGTGGGGTCACGTTGCCAGGGGCTCGCCATGCGTGTGGGGTCAGGGGTCACGTAGCCAGGGGCTCGTCATGCGTGTGGGGTCAGGGGTCACGTAGCCAGGGGCTTGCCATGCGTGTGGGGTCAGGGGTCACGTAGCCAGGGGCTCGTCATGCGTGTGGGGTTAGGTAGCCAGGGGCTCGTCATGCGTGTGGGGTCACGTAGCCAGGGGCTCGCCATGTGTGTGGGGTCAGGGGTCACGTAGCCAGGGTCTCACCGTGTGTGGGGGTCACGTAGCTAGGGTCTCACCGTGTGTGGGGGTCACGTAGCTAGGGTCTCACCGTGTGTGGGGGTCACGTAGCTAGGGTCTCACCGTGTGTGGGGTTCACGTAGCTAGGGTCTCAGTGTGTGGGGGTCACGTAGCTAGGGTCTCAGCGTGTGTGGGGGTCACGTAGCTAGGGTCTCAGCGTGTGTGGGGGTCACGTAGCTAGGGTCTCACCGTGTGTGGGGGTCACGTAGCTAGGGTCTCACCGTGTGTGGGGGTCACGTAGCTAGGGTCTCACCGTGTGTGGGGGTCACGTAGCTAGGGTCTCACCGTGTGTGGGGTTCACGTAGCTAGGGTCTCACCGTGTGTGGGGGTCACGTAGCTAGGGTCTCACCGTGTGTGGGGGTCACGTAGCTAGGGTCTCACCATGCGTGGGGGTCACGTAGCTAGGTGCTCACCGTGTGTGGGGGTCACGTAGCTAGGGTCTCACCGTGTGTGGGGGTCACGTAGCTAGGGTCTCACCGTGTGTGGGGGTCACGTAGCTAGGGTCTCACCGTGTGTGGGGGTCACGTAGCTAGGGTCTCACCGTGTGTGGGGGTCACGTAGCTAGGGTCTCACCGTGTGTGGGGTTCACGTAGCTAGGGTCTCACCGTGTGTGGGGGTCACGTAGCTAGGGTCTCACCGTGTGTGGGGGTCACGTAGCTAGGGTCTCAGTGTGTGTGGGGGTCACGTAGCTAGGGTCTCACCGTGCGTGGGGGTCACGTAGCAGGGGCTCACGGGACCCAGCTGCAGCAGCCTCTCGGGGAAGAGTCCCCCCATCGAGCTGGACTTGAGCATGTCCTCCTGCCTCTGCCTGTGTCCTGTGGTGAAGGGTAAGGGAGGGTGAGCGTCTATGTGGGAAATTAGGTGACTGACCGCCTGGTTCAGTCACCTGGGTGGGTGTATGACTGGGTGAGTGTCTAGATAGGTGACTGGGTGGGTGAATGTCTTCCTCGATTTTTGGGAGGGTAACTTGATGGACAGTCTGTAGTGATTGAATGTGTAAGTGAACAATGGAGTGGGTGAGAGAGGAGCGGGTGGGTGAGTGGGTGTGTGGCTGTGCGGTAGTGTAGTGGTTAACGCGCTACGCTACGAACCTGGCGACGCGGGTTTGATTCCCGCTCACGGCCAACACCGGTGACGATTATCTGAACCGGTCCTGAGCCTCCCCTAGGTCGACTCAGCCTCAAATGAGTACCTGGTGTGGTGTGTAAACATCGCCACTGGGGAGGCAAAGGCGGCCGGGCTTGCTGCTGGCCACCCACCCCCTAGTGTACCATGTCGGCCTTCATAGGTGCTCGCTAACAGCACTTGCCCCTACAGTATGGTAAGGCTATACGGGGGATCTTTGTCTTTGTGTGGCTGGATGGATGGCTGGCTGGCCGGGTGGGTGAATGGGTGAATGAGCGAGCGGAGCTGGGTGGACTCACTTCGTGGCTCACGAGGCCCGTCCACCGTCACCTTGATGGCGCGTTGATAGGTGGCCACCTGGGGTGGGCTCGTGAACACTGTGATGGTCAAGTTGAGGCTCTTACCTGGGGGGCGGGGTGAAAGGCACGGGGGAAGGGCACAGTAATGGGGTCACTCTCTGGAACAATGGACGAGGTTGGGAGGTCAATGCGAGGTTATGGGTCTTTGTGTGAGTCTTTGTGCGAGTCTATGGGTCACTGTGTGAGTCTATAGGTCTCTGTGTGAGTCTTTGGGTTACTGTGTGAGTCTATGGGTCTCTGTGTGAGTCTGTGGGTCACTGTGTGTGTCTATGGGTCACTGTGTGAGTCTATGGGTCTCTGTGTGAGTCTGTGGGTCTCTGTGTGAGTCTGTGGGTCACTGTGTGAGTCTATGGGTCACTGTGTGAGTCTATGGGTCACTGTGTGAGTCTATGGGTCCGTGTGTGAGTATATGGGTCACTGTGTGAGTCTGTGGGTCTCTGTGTGAGTCTGTGGGTCTCTGTGTGAGTCTATGGGTCACTGTGTGAGTCTATAGGTCTCTGTGTGCGTCCATGGGTCACTGTGTGAGTCTATGGGTCTCCGTGTGAGTCTATGGGTCACTGTGTGAGTCTATGGGTCTCTGTGTGAGTTTATGGGTCTCTGTGTGTGTCTATGGGTCTCTGTGTGAGTTTATGGGTCTCTGTGTGAGTCTATGGGTCTCTGTGTGAATCCATGGGTCACTGTGTGAGTCTATGGGTCCGTGTGTGAGTATATGGGTCACTGTGTGAGTCTGTGGGTCTCTGTGTGAGTCTGTGGGTCTCTGTGTGAGTCTATGGGTCACTGTGTGAGTCTATAGGTCACTGTGTGAGTCTATGGGTCCGTGTGTGAGTATATGGGTCACTGTGTGAGTCTGTGGGTCTCTGTGTGAGTCTGTGGGTCTCTGTGTGAGTCTATGGGTCACTGTGTGAGTCTATAGGTCTCTGTGTGCGTCTATGGGTCACTGTGTGAGTCTATGGGTCTCTGTGTGAGTTTATGGGTCTCTGTGTGTGTCTATGGGTCTCTGTGTGAGTTTATGCGTCTCTGTGTGAGTCTATGGGTCTCTGTGTGAATCCATGGGTCTATGTGTGAGTCTATGGGTCTCTGTGTGAATCCATGGGTCTCTGTTTGAGTCTATGGGTCTCTGTGTGAGTCTATGAGTCACTGTGTGTGTCTATGGGTCACTGTGTGAGTCTATGGGTCTCTGCGTGAGTCTGTGGGTCTCTGTGTGAGTCTGTGGGTCACTGTGTGAGTCTATGGGTCTCTGTGTGAGTCTATGGGTCTCTGTTTGAGTCTATGCGTCTCTGTGTGAGTCTATGAGTCACTGTGTGAGTTTATGGGTCTCTGTGTGAGTCTATGGGTCTCTGCGTGAGTCTGTGGGTCTCTGTGTGAGTCTGTGGGTCTCTGTGTGAGTCTGTGGGTCTCTGTGTGAGTCTGTGGGTCACTGTGTGAGTCTATGGGTCTCTGTGTGAGTCTATGGGTCTCTGTTTGAGTCTATGCGTCTCTGTGTGAGTCTATGAGTCACTGTGTGAGTCTATGGGTCACTGTGTGAGTCCCCCCCTCGCCCCCCTTCCCCCACCACCCCCCCCTCCCCCCACCTCGCCCGCTCCTCCCCACGAAGCGCAGGTCGTTGAAGCGCGCCACGTGACCCTTCATGACGGCACTCGCGTTGCGCAGCTCTGCAGAGTAGTTCTCGTCGTTCCCGGCCATCACCGCCACGGGGGTGCCGTCCGGAACGTCGGCCATCGCCATCACCTGCGGGGCGTGCGGTGACCAAGGGGCAGCGGTGAAGGTCGTGACGTCGTGAGGGGTTGGGGGTGGGGGCAGTGGGCCGGGTGACGGAGGGTTCAGCGGTGCTCTACCGATCGCGGCGCCACGCGGAGCGGCGTCGGGCGGGATTCAGCGGGGGCGACGACACGGGAGTCACGTGATCTACGGGAGCCTCGAGCTGGTTTAGAGAGAGAGAGAGGTGTCGTGAGAGGTCCACGTGACCAGCCCACCCGCCGTGTGTACCATTCACCACTGGTGCAAAGGACCGGCCGCTACCTCCCCCCGGCCCCCACCTCGGGGGTTTCCTCTCCCCTCCTTTTGGTTTCCGCGGTCCAAAATTTCCACCCTGAACCAATTTCCTCTCCAGCCACCTCGAGTTCGTTTCTCAGCATCACCATCACCACCACCATCACCACCACCACCATCATCACCACCAGCATCACCACCAGCATCACCACCACTATCACCATCACCACCAGCATCATCACCACCATCACCACCACTATCACCATCACCACCACCATCACCACCATCACCACCATTATCGCCACCATCACTACCACCATTACCACCAGTATCACCACCATCACCACCACCATCATCACCAGCATCACTATCACCACCATCATCACCACCAGCATCACCACCAGCATCACCACCACCATCACCACCACCACCATCACCACCATCACCACCACCATCACCGCCACCATCACCACCATCACCACCATCACCACCACCATCACCACCATCACTACCACCATTACCACCAGCATCACCATCACCACCACCATCACCACCAGCATCACCATCACCACCACCATCACCACCATCACCACCAGCATCACCACCACCATCATCACCACCACCACCATCATCACCACCATCACCACCATCACCACCATCACCATCACCACCATCACCACCATTATCGCCACCATCACTACCACCATTACTACCAGTATCACCACCATCACCACCACCATCATCACCAGCATCACCACCACCAGCATCACCACCAGCATCACCACCAGCATCACCACCATCAACACCACCATCACCACCACCACCACCATCATCACCACCATCACCACCAGCATCACCACCATCACCACCACCATCACCACCAGCATCACCACCACCATCACCACCACCACCATCACCACCATCACCACCACCATCACCACCATTATCGCCACCATCACCACCATCACCACCATCACCACCACCATCACCACCATCACTACCACCATTACCACCAGCATCACCATCACCACCACCATCACCACCAGCATCACCATCACCACCACCATCACCACCATCACCACCAGCATCCCCACCACCATCATCACCACCACCACCATCATCACCACCATCACCACCATCACCACCATCACCATCACCACCACCATCACCATCAATCACCACCAGCATCACCATCACCACCACCATCACCACCATCACCACCAGCATCACCACCACCATCATCACCACCACCACCATCATCACCACCATCACCACCATCACCACCATCACCATCACCACCACCATCAATCACCACCACCACCATCACCACCACCACCATCACCACCATCATCACCACCATCACCACCATCACCACTAACCACCACCACCACCATCACCACCACCATCACCACCACCACCATCACCACCACCTGCTGCCTGTCATCCAGCACTGTGCGGGGGCGGCAGCAGCGGCGAGGATTGGTGGATCACGCACAGACGGGGGTGTGGAACTCCCCGCTACACGTGGGTGGGCTGTCGAGGAGGAGCCGTACGCCCGGTTCGCCAGCGGATGGGAGCACAGCAAAGTGTGTGGACTAATCTCCCCCTCTGTCTTCTGTTTGTTGTCCTTCCCCGCACCTCCCATTGGCACGGTTGGCTACGTACGGTGCGAAAGAAGTTCTGCATACACGCACATAGACGTACCCCTGGCTCTGCCAGGAGAAGGCGGTGCGGAAAAGTGTGGAGTAATCTCCATCTGATTATTCCGTCTGTACGGGGGGGGGGGGGGGGGGGGGGGGGGGGGGTGGGATAGAGCGTTGCCCCCTTACCCAAGGCGTTGGGTTTTCTCCGTGATGAATAAACCCAACTCGTCCGTAAGCAGCTTCAAACATCCTACAACTAAACAGCCAACGTAGCAGCGGCAGCAGGGCCCTCCTGAAGAACATTCCTACGACTACTGGATAACCATGGGCGCCCAGGTGAACACCTAGTAGACTTTCGCGACCAGTATTAGCGGTGAAAGAGGGGCTTTGGGGGAGTTAGAACTCATGATAGCCATGCCATTGTATTTATACCACGATGTTAACCCCCCTCTGGTCTTCGCGCCTGATAGGCTCACGGCGATGACATCACAATCAGCCCCCCCCCCCCCCCCTGAGGAATTATCCGCACATTCTTGCCAATCGCCTGATGAAGCTGGTTGTTGTTGCAATCACCAGCGAGGAAGCGTTGCTGTGGGTTTCGACTCCAACACACAAGCGGCGTGTGTGTGCTGAACTAGCAACTAATGGTGCACGTTGTGTGACACAAACTTTACTAATTAGACTGCAACAAGTGGTCATGGTGGTGGTCGTGGTGGTGGTGTCGTGGTGGTCGTGGTGGTGGTGGTCGTGGTGGTGGTGGTCGTGGTGGTAGTGGTGGTGTCGTGGTGGTGGTCGTGGTGGTGGTCGTGGTGGTGGTCCTGGTGGTGGTGGTGGTCCTGGTGGTGGTCGTGGTGGTCGTGGTGGTGTCGTGGTGGTGGTGGTGGTCGTGGTGGTCGTGGTGGTGTCGTGGTGGTGGTCGTCGTGGTGGTGGTGGTCGTGGTGGTGGTGTCGTGGTGGTGGTGTTGGTGGTGGGTGGGGGTAGTGTAGCGGTTAGCGCGCTGCGCTACAAACCTGACGATCCGAGTTCGATTCCCGCTGACGGCCAACTACCAGTGACGATTATCTGAACCGGTCCTGGGCCTACCCTAGGTCGACAGAGCCTCAAAATGAGTACCTGGTGCGGTGTGTAGTAAACATCGCCACTGGGGAGGCAAAGGCGGCCGGGCTTGCTGCTGGCCACCCACCCCCTCGTGTGCCGTGTCAGCCTTCACAGGTGCTGCTCGCTAACAGCACTTGCCCCAACCATCTGTTAAGGCTATATGGGGGACCTTTGTCTTTGTGTAGTTGCGTGGTAGTGGACACGCGCGGTTCGTCCACTAGGGGCGTTGGGGCGCCACCCCACCAAGGAACAGGAGGCGAGAAATTATTTTTCTAAACAAAATGAAGATCATATTTTAAGTTGTTCACGTTAATAACCGCTGCAAGCCAGTCTCGGGGAGGTCTCGGGGTGCTGTGAAGGCGTCCGCCCTGAGAGATTTCACTGCGTTGCGATTCGCTTCGTATTTTGGCCACGCCGTTTGAGACCCATTCAGGGCGGTGAAAAAGGCACCCGTGGCTGTGATGAGACGACGTCACGAAGACGTCACGAACACGTCACAAAGCGAGGTGGCACCGTGCCAACAGCAGCAGCAGCTCACACGGCCTACACGCTGCGATGGCGATGGCGCGGCAGGGTGCATAAAACGAAGAATTCGCAACGAACACTGTGGGAGTCACTCGTAAATATTCGCTTTGAAAAGATGACTGTGCAGGAGAAGTTGAATTGCAAGCGATTGGGTCCTGATCAACCGAAAATCGCAATCAACCAGCCTTCAGGCGACCGGGGCGAGGCATACCGTGAGGACATTTAGCCAGAGCTGGTGTGCGAGCGAGGCCTGGCTGTGTGGATGTGCAAATCAAGAATTCACTTTTCTGTTTCCCTTGCCGACTGCTTCGGACCTGAGACAAGGCCTGGAATGCCTTCCGTTGCTGGACCAGGCACCAGTTAAATCACTCCCACGTCTCTTCAGAGGTCACTCACAACGGCCACACCTCGTGGCAACGTCACAAGACGCCCATGGGAGTGGAGCGGCAAACCTCGAATCCGGGCCACCCGGGGTTCGATTCCCGCTCAAGGTCAACGCCGGTGACGTCTGAACCGGTCCCGGGCCTCCCCCGAGGACGACTCAGCCTCAAATGAGTACCCGGTGCGGTGTGTAGTAAACATCGCCACTGGGGAGACAAAGGCGGCCGGGCGTGGTGTTGGCCACCCACCCCTTCGCGTACCACAGTGCCGGCCTGCATAGGTGGTGCTGCTCGCTGAAAACACTTTCCCCAACAGTCTGTTAAGGATATACGAGGGATATTTGTCTTTTCGTGGTGGTGGTGGTGGTGGCGGGTTGAACGACACAACATTGATATTTACATCAACCATGGATCACGAGCACCCCCCCCCTCCCCCTCCCACCTTGAAGGCGACGGGCAGAGTTTTGTTGCAGCGCCAGTGGGGAGGCAACGCGGAGCAGAGGAAGTTGGGGCTGTCCGTGCGCAGCATCTCTCCACTCTGCTCCACCACCCCCAGCCCCAGCGTGGCCTCCTCCAGGGGGGCTCCCCCCACCTGGGAGCCCGGCCCGGAGTGCCCGGCCTGAGCGTGGGAGGGCGGCGGCTGCTGCTGCTGCAGCTTCCCCAGGCTGAGTGGGGGACTGCAAGGGGCAGAAGGCTGCTGCTGATGATGATGATCCTGGTGCTGATGATGCTGCTGTTGCTGCGCGTGAAGGTGGGAGCCGTGTAGCAGCGGAGAAGAGATCTCCACGGGTTTGCCTGGGACGCGGGGAGACACGGGGGTGGCACACGGGGATGAGACACGGGGATGGGACACGGGAGACGCGAGGGCACACGGGCAACATGGGGAGACACGGGGGTGAGACACGGGGAGACACGGGGGTGGCACACGGGGATGAGACACGGGGGTGGCACACGGGGATGAGACACGGGGATGGGACACGGGAGACGCGAGGGCACACGGGCAACATGGGGAGACACGGGGGTGAGACACGGGGAGACACGGGGGTGGCACACGGGGATGAGACACGGGGGTGGCACACGGGGATGAGACACGGGGATGGGACACGGGAGACGCGAGGGCACACGGGCAACATGGGGAGACACGGGGGTGAGACACGGGGAGACACGGGGTGGCACACGGGGATGAGACACGGGGGTGGCACACGGGGATGAGACACGGGGATGGGACACGGGAGACGCGAGGGCACACGGGCAACATGGGGAGACACGGGGGTGAGACACGGGGAGACACGGGGGTGGCACACGGGGATGAGACACGGGGGTGGCACGCGGGGATGAGACACGGGGATGGGACACGGGAGACGCGAGGGGACACGGGCGACACGGGGAGACACGGGGGTGAGACACGGGGAGACACGGGGGTGAGACACGGGGAGACACGGGGGTGGGACACGGGGAGACACGGGGAGACATGGGGGTGAGACACGGGGAGACACGGAAGTGGGACACGGGGAGACATGGAGGTGGGACACGGGGAGACACAGGGGTGAGAAACGGGAAGACACGGGAGTGGGACACGGGAAGACACGGGGAGACACGGGAGTGGGACACGGGAAGATACGGGGAGACATGGGGGTGAGACACGGGGAGACACGGGGGTGGGACACGGGGAGACACGGGGGTGGGACACGGGGAGACACGGGGGTGGGACACAGGAGACACGGGGGTGGGACACAGGAGACACGGGGAGACGCGGAGGGACACGGGGAGACACAGGGGTGGGACACGGGGAGACATGGGGGTGGGACACAGGAGACACGGGGAGACACGGGTGGACACAGGATACGCGGAGGGACACGGGGAGACACGGGAGAGATACGGCGAGACACGTTGTGTACAAACACAGAGACAATTTCAACCGAGAGGATGGATTCTGGCTTAGCAATCATTGGAAGGATTTGATAAACCATTTCGGGTCTTAATTGATTGTTCACGCTTACGGTGGCTTTCAGACCGCATCCATTATTTTCGTCTCCCCCCTCCTCTTCTCTGAACATAGATGGACTCGTCCATCTGAATAACTGCCAAATCACTCTCCGTGGTGCTAACGTAAAAAAAAAACCCGCCACTTTTTTCAAATTTTCTTGCTGTGGTTTTCACACCTGATGATGATTGCTTGTGTTGCAGTCGAAACGTCGTGAGAATTTTATTGATTTATATTTTTATTCTTTTATTGTTTCCCTTCTACGTGGTGACTTTACCGAAAGAACCAAGAATATGAATCCCTGCAGTCACGAAAGCTTTAAATCAACATTTATCATATTGCTGAACTTCTTTTGCTCCCTACGCAGCCAACTGTGCTTAATCGGAGGTGTGGACAACAGACTAAACGCAAAAAGCAGTTGTAAAAAAATCAATGTAGTATAGCGGTGTAGCATATCGTGTAGTGTATAGTGTACTGTGGAGTAGTGTAGTATATCATGTATAGTGCAGTGTATATTGAACTTGCTAATCTGAGGCACGGCACCGTGGATGGGGGGAGAAGGACAACAACACTAAACACAAACGCAATTCTTAAGACATTTGCGCTCGATGTAGATGATTTAAAAGTGCTATATAGGTGCAGTGGCTTCCTAATATCGGATGATATCGTCACTGCAACCATCACCACCACCATTTCTATTCAGCGTGGAAGTGTGCATCGATTAATCGACGCGTATCAATTCGTAAGCGCCACGACGCGCGTGTTGCCTGTCCCACGTGTGAACGTTGCACGCATTAGCATGGGTTCATGTAATCAGCGGCACCTTGGAAGTTGATGGGTCGTGATGCCACAGGTGTGACGTCAAGTTATGAACGCTTCCTTAAAGAGTCTCCTTCAGGCTTGCAGTGCGTTGACGGGTTTGGCGCAGTAATGCGACGCAGCAGTGTACTGGTTTGCCCGGCGACAAAGCGACGTGCAGGTCCCCTGTGCTCCGACAGGAAGCTAAACTCTCAATGCTGACGGGATTCGCGGCCAAACAACACCGGGCAGCTGCGGCACCCTCCTGAAAACGAGTCCTGAGACTCGGTGAGCTTCTCACCAACGGACTCACACAGTGACCCACAGGCTCAGTGACCCACATGACCCACACATTCACACAGTGACCCACAGACTCACACAGTGACCCACAGACTCAGTGACTCACAGACACACAGTGACCCACAGACTCACACAGTGACCCACAGACTCACACAGTGACCCACAGACTCGCACACTGACCCACAGACTCACACAGTGACCCAGAGACTCACACAGTGACCCACAGATGCACACAGTGACCCACAGACTCAGTGACCCACAGACTCACACAGTGACCCACAGACTCACACAGTGACCCACAGACTCACACAGTGACCCACAGACTCAGTGACTCACAGACTCACACAGTGACCCACAGACTCACACAGTGACCCACAAACTCACACAGTGACCCACAGACTCGCACAGTGACCCACAGACTCGCACAGTGACCCACAGACTCACACAGTGACCCACAGACGCACACAGTGACCCACAGATTCACACAATGATCCACAGACTCACACAGTGACCCACAGACTCACACAGTGACCCACAGACTCACACAGTGACCCACAGACTCACACAGTGACCCACAGCCTCACACAGTGACCCACAGACTCACACAGTGACCCACAGATTAACACAGTGACCCACAGACTCACACAGTAACCCACAGACTCACATGGTGACCCACACACTCACACAGTGACCCACAGACTCACACGGTGACCCACACACTCACACAGTGACCCACACATTCACACAGTGACCCACAGACTCGCACAGTGACCCACAGACTCAGTGACCTACAGACTCGCACAGTGACCCACAGACTCAGTGACCCACAGACTCAGTGACCCACAGACTCACACAGTGACCCACAGACTCACACAGTGACCCACAGACTCACACAGTGACCCACAGACTCACACAGTGACCCACAGAATCACACAATGACCCACAGACTCAGTGACCCACAGACTCGCACAGTGACCCACAGAATCGCACAGTGACCCACAGACTCACACAGTGACCCACAGACTCACACAGTGACCCACACACTCACACAGTGATCCACAGACTCACACAGTGACCCACTGACTTGCACAGTGACCCACAGACTCAGTGACCCACAGACTCACACAGTGACCCACAGACTCAGTGACCCACAGACTCAGTGACCCACAGACTCACACAGTGACCCACAGACTCACACAGTGACCCAGAGACTCACACAGTGACCCACAGACTCACACAGTGACCCACAGATTAACACAGTGACCCACAGACTCACACAGTGACCCACAGACTCACACAGTGACCCACACACTCACACAGTGACCCACAGAGTCACACAGTGACTCACAGACTCGCACAGTGACCCACAGACTCACACAGTGACCCACAGACTCACACAGTGACCCACAAACTCACACAGTGACCCACAGACTCACACACTGACCCACAGACTCACACAGTGACCCACAGACTCACACAGTGACCCACAGATGCACACAGTGACCCACAGACTCAGTGACCCACAGACTCACACAGTGACCCACAGACTCACACAGTGACCACAGACTCACACAGTGACCCACAGACTCAGTGACTCACAGACACACAGTGACCCACAGACTCACACAGTGACCCACAGACTCACACAGTGACCCACAGACTCGCACACTGACCCACAGACTCACACAGTGACCCAGAGACTCACACAGTGACCCACAGATGCACACAGTGACCCACAGACTCAGTGACCCACAGACTCACACAGTGACCCACAGACTCACACAGTGACCCACAGACTCACACAGTGACCCACAGACTCAGTGACTCACAGACTCACACAGTGACCCACAGACTCGCACAGTGACTCACAGACTCGCACAGTGACCCACAGACTCACACAGTGACCCACAGACGCACACAGTGACCCACAGATTCACACAATGATCCACAGACTCACACAGTGACCCACAGACTCACACAGTGACCCACAGACTCACACAGTGACCCACAGACTCACACAGTGACCCACAGCCTCACACAGTGACCCACAGACTCACACAGTGACCCACAGATTAACACAGTGACCCACAGACTCACACAGTAACCCACAGACTCACACGGTGACCCACACACTCACACAGTGACCCACAGACTCACACGGTGACCCACACACTCACACAGTGACACACACATTCACACAGTGACCCACAGACTCGCACAGTGACCCACAGACTCAGTGACCTACAGACTCACACAGTGACCCACAGACTCAGTGACCCACAGACTCAGTGACCCACAGACTCACACAGTGACCCACAGACTCACACAGTGACCCACAGACTCACACAGTGACCCACAGACTCACACAGTGACCCACAGATTCACACAGTGACCCACAGACTAACACAGTGATCCACAGACTCACACAGTGACCCACAGACTCACACAGTGATGCACAGACTCACACAGTGACGTACAGTCTCACACAGTGACCTACAGATTCCCACAGTGATCCACAGATTCACAGTGATCTACAGACTCACACAGTGATCCATAGACTCACACAGTGACCCACGGACTCACACAGTGACCCACAGACTCACACAGTGACCCACAGATTCACACAATGATCCACATAGTGATTCACATACTCACTCAGTGACCTACAGACTCACACAGTGACCCACAGACTCACAGTGTCCCACAGACTCACACAGTGACCCACAGGCTCACATAGTGATCCA